GGGGGAGGAAGGGGGTGGGCGGTCGAGAGGGCGGCGGCGGCGGCGCGGCCGGGGGCGCTCGGGTGTTGACCTGTTCGCCGCGGCGCCAGCTTCGAACACGTGCGGCGCTACGCGGGGAACGACGGCGGGGGGAGGGAGGAGCGGGAGGGGCGGGGCTGTAGGCACAGGGGAGGCGGCGAATGCTCGAAGAGTTTTGCAGTTGCGAAGTTGCTTCTGCAGGCAGCAGGACAGTAGCGACAGCGAAGCGGTGGCGGTAGCGCGTACACTGGCACAGTATTATTAACGGAACTGCTGAGACCCGGCGGATTGCTTCGGTGCCTCACCCCCCTCGCCTGGGCGCGCCGCCCTCGTGCGCCACGCCGCGCAGCGCGCCTGCGCCGCTCGCCGCGGCTTCACGGGCCTCCCTACGTCGCCTCCTCGGCGCGGCCTCGACGGCTCTCTGCCGCCGTACTCGCGCCGCTCTCGCGCTCCTCGCCGCCTCCTGCGCTCCGCTGGCGCCCTCTAGCGGGCCTCGCCGCGGCATCGCGCCGATGCGCGCCCTCGCCGCCGCCTCGCGCCGCCTCGCCGCGGCTCGCGCCGCCACGCGCGCCGACGCCGCCGCCACGCCGCCGCCTCGTTTCACCGCAACAGCGCTCCCATTCCGTCTCACTTCGCCAGACCGCCACACAGCCATTAGCGCCCCGCCCAAGCCCGCCCCTGCTAGCTCTGCCCCTACGCCGCCTTCGTCCCTCTCTGGCCCGGCTTTGCGTCGGCCGCGGCTCAGTCTTCCGTCGTCGGCCGGCCAGCCCACACCGCCGCACAGGCCACCACCGCGACCACGCGAGCGCACGCCCACCGCCGCCAACGCCAGCACGCGCAATGCCGACGCGCCGCGCACCATGCCGCATGGCCTACGCGCTACGCCGCACGGCATCCTGCCGCCACCAGCGCCACGCCGCAACCGCCGCCCGGCCGCCTACGGGCCGAACCGCCGCTAGCGCACGCCGCCTACTGGACGGCGCGCGCCAGGCCTCACTGCCGCACCGCGCCACCGCGCCACTGGCCATCGCGCATACGCGCACGGCGCCACGTCGCACGGCGCACCTGCGCACGTGCCGCCGGCCGCGCCCGGCGCGCCGCGCGCCGGCGGGCCGGCGGCCGGCGGCCGCCGGCGGCGCCGCGCCGCGCGCGCGCGGCGCGCCCGCGGCGCGGCCGCGCGGCGCGCGCGCGCGCGCGCGCGCGGCCCGGCGGCGGCGCGGCGGCCGCGGCCGCGCGGCGCGCCGCGCGCGCGCGCGCCCGCGGCGCGCGCGCCCTGGCGCGGCGGCCGGGGCGGCCGCGCGGCGCCGCGGCGCCGGTGCCGCCCGCCGCGCCGCCGCCGCCGCCGCGGCGCGCGCCGCCGCGCCGCCGCCCGCGCGCCCGCCGCCGCGCGCGCGCGCCGCGGGCGCGCCGCGCCGCGCGGCGCGGCGCGCCGGGGGCCCGGCGGCGCGGCGCGCGCGCCGCGGCGCGCGGACGCCGCGGCCGCCGCGCCGCCGCCGCCGCGCGCCCGCCGCCGCGGCCGCCGCCGCGCCGCGCGGGCGGGCCGCGCGCCGCGCCGCCGGCGGCCGCGCCGCGCGCGCGCGCGGCAGGCCGCCGCCGGGCCGCGCGGGCGCCGCCGCGCGCGCGCGGCGGCGCGCGGCGGCGCGCCGCGCGCGCGCCGCCGCCGCGCGCGCGCGGCCGCGCGCGGCCGGGGCCGCGGCCGCGCGCGCCGCCGGCGGCGCCGCCGCCGCGCCGCGCGCGCGCCGCGCCGGCCGCGCGCGCGCGCCGCGCCGCCGCGCGGGCGCGGCGCCGCGCGCCGCGCCGCGCGCCGCCGCCGCGCGCCGCCGCCGCCGCGCGCGCGGCCGCCGCGCGCGCCGGCCGCGCCGCCGCGCCGGCCGCGCCGCCGCCGCGCGCCGTGCGCGCGCGCCGCCGCCGCCGCCGCCGCCGCGCCGCCGGCCGCCGCCGCGCCAGCCGCGCCGCGCCGCGCCGCCGCCGCCGCCGCCGCCGCCGGGCGCGCCTGCGCGCCGCCCGCGCGGCGCCACGGCGCACGCAGGCCTGCTCTGCGGAATTCTCCGCTGGTGGAATACAGCAGTCTGCTCACGTTTTGGGGCTCCACACACACTGCGTATTCGCCACTCCACGGATTTCGTATTTCAATTCCTACTGTTTGTCACGCACGTTTCTTTTATATTCTATTACTTCCATCTTTCAGAACAACTGAAATCATTCACGAATAGAAGTATAAAATAATTTATTCTTCGAAAAGTCTTGTAAGATGATGGTCAAAATATTACACGTTAATTTCGTTTTTTTTATTCACATTGTTGTACCATAGTTACAGCTCAGGAGTGTCGAAAGAAACATTTCATTGCGTATTGGATAAAATTTGAATGGTCATCTGTGACCTCGTCATAACGATCAGCTGTCGCAGAGCGTTTATCGTTAAGCTTTCCCAGCATTGTTGAACCTATTGTGGAACCCTCTATGGGCTCGATTATGCTGTGGGCATAGAGCATCAATTTTCTGACAATTACTGACCGATGTACAGCCCCAAGAATCGACGCCGAGACAACCCCGAAAGATGGACGCTTTTCGCCTAGCCTCGAGAGATTAGTCCCGTCTTGGTTGTGTTCTTCCATGTACATGTAGAGTTTCATTATTGAAGTGGCATTTGCTGTAGCACGTCTTCCAAAGCCAGGAATTGCATGGAGCTGCGTATCATGTACTATCGTTCGTTTGCCGCTTCTGGTGAATTCCAGTCCACCGCATAGAGCGTTGTAGCCTGCATGCGATGCAAGTTGAGAGTTTACGTGTTCCACTAATGATTCCTTACGTGAAATATGTACAGGTATCGCAGAATAAATGCTGCAAACTTCTAGGCCTTGTAGAGGGATTAAAACTGATAACGTTTTGTCTATGAACATACAAATATAATGGGAAATTACATTTAGTGTATTTATTACATTCTTTTAAGCAACCGTGTATACACAATTTTTTTCAGGAGCATGAAATCCTTTTGAATTTCGTCACAACTCGACCGGAAGAACATTTCTGCAAAACGAAATGCTTATATTTAATGCCGTTAAATAAAATTTCCCACCCATTCATTGGTAAAATGTGCTTTTTCTTTACACACTCTACAAGTTTGTAGTGTGTGTGGAAACTGTGCTACACACTTTACAATTCCAAAAATTGAAGCATAAATAAATGTCTGCTCACATTATATTCAAAACTGTAAAAATACTTTTTTTAATATTTATACCATGAATCAGAAACCTTCAATTGCCTCTCTGTGATTCAGAATAGCCTTAAAAAGCAGCTTTTGTCAATTGCCATATTCAAATAGCCGCAATAGCTTTTGCTGCTGGTACTTCTGGAAGTATAGAGACGATTAACTATCATCTTTATTGTTTTTATTTTAGTGTGTCTCATTTTCCTTGCCTTACGAAATAATGTAAACAATTTAATAGACAAAACAGAAGTAATTTAGAAAATTGATGAGTAGTATTTATTGTTGTGAGTGCGAGTCTAGCAACCGCGCAGTGTAGTAGCAAATCTTTTGTTAACTGTGCTTTTTTAGATAAATCGTCTCGAAAAAATTGTCCGGCGTTTTTGGCTCATATCTCAGCCTTTTAACGAATTTCCTGACTTCTACTGTAATCCCAAATAAACTAAATTTATGAAAAATATCAATTTATTAATTACATCAGATAATTAAATTTATTAAAGAATTGCGAATCAGAAAAATGGTCTAGGAAATAAAAAAGTCATTCTTGAATTTTATATAACATGTTACTATATTTTTTGACAAAATGTTTAACAAACGCAGAATGCAATTTAATGCATGTTCTACGAAAATGTTCTACGCAAAATGTTCTAAGAAATAAAAAGGTCATTCTTGATTTTATATAACATGTTTCTATATTTTTTGACAAAATGTTTAACAAACGCAAAATGAAATTTAATGCAGGTAGGTGTTCAGAAAAGTAAGTAACCCGTTTGACCATATGGGCGCAATTGCTAACCAGAAAAAGTTGTTGTTCAGCGGTTTTGACCCAACGGACCATTAGGTTTCCCCGCGCATCATGTCGCCGCCTGCTGCACACGTCCCACGGGGGCTCCGACCAGTGCAAACGAGCCCCGATCGCGAATGGCGTGTCAGTGATACAACGCATAGCACGGCGGCCAGTGGCAGGCGCGGTTCCCGGAAGCGCCGATGAAGGCTGATGTCGATGCAGTTGACTGTCGGGAACGAACTCCCTGGGCTCCCGCGGGAATTGCTTCCAAGCGGCGGGTGACATCAGCGGGGGGTACAGTTTGTTTTGTGAGTATACTGAGCCGAGATTCCAATGACTTTTTTGGTGTGTGTTCCCCCTTCTTTGTCGAGTCGAACAATAAAATCTTGCTCGGCCCATTACCCCTCGAAATGCCATGTTTTTATGTTGCGAGTTTTCTGAAAAAACAGGTTCTTGAATAGCATCGCGCTTTACAAGACAATGTCAACGAAGTTAGAACAAATGCTTCGAACTTTTCGTTTTAAAACTGAATACATTTAAGTGTTCTTGAAATTAGCTAATAAGAAAGTCTCAAAAAATAATCATTATAAAGATAAATACATTTTTTTCATGTAATTATTTCTACGTTCTGGACAACAGAATATTGATATTTAGCTTCATTTCAGTAGGTTTCTTCGACAGATCGATATTCACACAATGCAAACTGTCTGCGGGTAAATCATTGCCAAATCCTCCCTCTGAGATGACCTCCATGACAGGCTGAACCAAGGAATAATCAATGACTTGTAGAGTACATTTATCCTTTCAACAAACTGTCAGTCCGTATTCAATCGATCCTTGTTTGTATACTCGTATACAGTATTCGACATTCCACATTACTTCCGTACACAAATTACAGATATATCATTGAAATAATGATTAAAATAGCGGCAAACAATGCCTCCAAACAACTGAAACAAACTATGCAATAAATAGTCCGTGTTTTCACAATTTTTTCTTTGAGTCAAAACTAGCGAACTTTACTGAATAATTCAAAATTAATTCAGTTTTACACTATTGTTTTTGGAGATATACGTATTAAAGATGTATATAACATTTATATCAACTACAACGCATTTCATCGCCCATTTTTTACTTTCCTTCAGCCTATTGAGTTACTCTATAATTTTTTCTAACATCTCAGAACGTTTGATTTTTCCTTTAATTCAAAATAAACTAGTGGTGCAAGAGAATGGCAGAGACTTTCCCGTACTAGATTTCTTTGGTCTCGGTTAGCTATTCAAACTTGCCACATACTAGTAAACGTACCTTCACTTTGGTCTTCTTTTCTTTAATTTCTTTCGCTTCCCGGTAATGAAAATGTTAAGAAAATTACATGATAAACCTTTAAAATTCTGCAAATATGGAAAATGCAATTTAATATTTTTAAAATATATTTCAAAGTGTAAAGGAGTTTGAGAGTGGACCAAACCCAACGCGACCATTGGGATAATCAAAAACCAAACTCGACCGCTGGAGAGCTGAATTGAAAATTCTGTGTTCTTGACATTTAGAATGAAGTTATACCGGACCTAATTTTAAGCAAGTAAGCGTCTTCTATCCGTGATGTTTCATTCGAAACAATACTGATGTATTACAGATGCCGTATATTAGAGGTATATTCTACTTTGTTGTAGAACTGGCCGAGAAATTGATAACTACCTCTTCAAGAATTAAACTGTGAACCACACACTGTAAGAAAGCGAGCTATTAATGAGTGTAAAAGGACTTCTTGATGCAAAATACATAACTTAACCGAAATGCAAATATGATCTAAACATTGCCACCTGAAGAGGATTCTGATAATGTTTTAAAATATTATGTTTTAACCGAAGAACCTTGGATCATTTATATATCCATCGTTTCGTCCGTCAGTTCAACTGTCCATTCGTCTGTCTGTCCGCCATTTTGTCGCTCCGGTCCGTACCTCTACTCAACTTTCTTGTCAGAATGTACACAACTACATTCACCCTCAAATCTTGACTTTTCCAGATAAAATTAGTACATAATTTTCGAGCAGTGATACACCTCAAAATACGATTTAACAAGTCGTCATTGCAAATGAAATTTCGTATCCTCAGGTTGTTTTTCATTATAGAACATAATGTAATGTGTTCCCATTTTTAATAGTTTGTTAGGATGTTATACGTAAATGAGTAAAAACGTGAATTACATAATGTTTAGCAAGAGTCACAAATGTTATTCGTTAAAATTCCAGGAATCAAATAAATAATGCATGTTGAATAGAAATGCCATGGTTGATGTTTTTTTCGAAGATCTTTTTTCTTAAGTGTAACAAGTTCAAAATTGCAATTTACTAAAATTACAAAAAACATTGAAAAGTCATTGAAAAACAAGGCAAATATCATGAACATCATATTATGAGTGCATATGAAACTATTTATGAGACAATAAAATAACAGTATATTTGTATCCAAACTGACTATTTTAAACATTAATATTTTTATTTTTTTATTTTGTACAAGTTAGTTACCATATCAAAATAAACAAAAATAAATTTTATTTGTAAAAATATTTCATAAAACTGTTTTATGAAATATGCTCCTGCTATGAAACCACTGCTCCTGTCCAAATTAACTTATACAATTAAATTATTTGATGTTACATCTTTCCAACAAACATATTATGACGTTCACTTTTAAAGGAAGATTTTCGAAAATCATGATCTAAAGACAACATTAAAAAACTCTAGCAAAGACAATATTACGACTTCAAAAAATGTCTTGAATCGGTATTCTTCCATTCAGAGTTCGATTACAAGTTACACAACTGCATTTCGAATTGCAATGCAGACAATCGCCTGGGGAGATTTCGACGGTGCAGTGTAAGCGGGAACAGAGGAAGATGGGCTCATGAAGCACGTAATCTCACGCGCGATGCGTGGTTTGGGACTCACGCTTGTAAACGTCACCCAAGCGAGGGCCTGTTCATATCGGAACAAATGCAGGCACTCGACCGTTACAGGCTAATGGAACTCGGGAATTGATCACAATAATTATATTGTTCCGGTTAATAGATAAATTGAGCGCATTAACCGCCAAAACTCGCAGGATAAACGGAATAACGCACTACAAAACGCTGTTACGTCTAGTTATGAAGTTTAATTCGTATAGTTATCGCTCAGAAGGGTTGCCAGTAAGTAAAACGGACATATTTAACGCCAAAAAATCAGCAAAACAACTATTTACGTCAGGCAGGGCGAAAAACTTATTTTCTGTCCTGAATCAAAGCAAGGAACCAGCTCAGAATTTACACATTCGATAAAAGAGAATCTTAGTGCATCGATATAATTATTATAAGTTAAAGATAATTAATTATTAAATGAACAGTACTATATAATGTTATACCATAGTTATTCAGTAGAAAGGACTTGTGTACTGATTGTAAGTCTACATTTGGGAAAGCATTGTGAAATAAAGAATTACTGTATATCTAGTATATAGTGTGCTATTTACATTAATTTTTATTATTATTATTATTATTATTATTATTATTATTATATTATCAATATTATTAATAACTGGAAATTCCAGATTTGGGATCCTATATGGTCCAAACCTACATGAAACTTACTCTATATACCATTATATTATCATTATTATTATTATTATTATTATTATTATTATTATTATTACTATTATTATTATTATATCGGTTGGTGGTGTCTAATGTCCCATGCTTTCGGAACGTTCTATCAACCGACGTC